CACAGCAAGGATACAGATGTAAAGATCAATGGACTTTTCCATCATTATGCAAACCAATTGATCGTCGCCTACGCCGTGATCGGCGAGGACACGGGCAAATTGGTTAGCGCGTGTGTTGAGCAGACCATAGGTCGCCACCTCTTCTACTTCCACGACACCACGTCTGACGCGAGCAAATCTGAGAGCTGACCTTCGCGGATCCTTCAGGGCCCATTGTTCTACCGCATGGGCAGGACCATGCTCTATCGTTTGCTGTCGAGGCGTGGGGTTGGCAATTGACAAGGAACGCGTGGTGAAGCATCGTTTCATGGCATCGATGCCATGGTTGGCATTCGATAAGAGCAGATTCACTATCTCGTCGATCTGACGAGAGAGATACTTGATCTGATGCTCCGGTATAGTTGAGGCGTCGTACGTAGCGTGGAAAAATATGTTGTCTTCGCGCGGCTCGAATTCCAGCGTAAGCCTAAATTCCAGATCGTCCGCGCTATCGATGACTCTTGAAGCGAGCGACGAGCTTGAGTCGGAGATGATTGACTGTTGCCATACAAACAGAACGTCGAAGAGTCGTGTCCCAGGTGGGATTTTTCCCGCCTTCACTATTTCCCGGAAAGGAAGGGTGCTGTGGCTCAGACATTCTCTATTCAATGCTTGGGTCGTACGCAGTAGATCATGAATGTCGAGCGTTTTACTGAGATTTATGCGGAAAGGGACGGTTGCGATGCATGGGCCGATAACATCCTCAACACCAGCGATGGGAATGGTTCGCCCTGAGGTAACGTTTCCAAGAACTATATCGTTTGTGCCGCTATAAAGGCTGAGTATGTACGCAGTAGCCGCCTGGAAATAAACCTGGGGGTTGACAGCCATCTCCTGAGCTCGCTGGAATAGTCTGGATCTGTTGATAGCAGAACGGCCCGAAAAGTGATGTGTCGCCGGATCGCGAACGAGCTTTCCATGGTAATTAGGGAGGGCCACCGGAAGGTAGCCATTGAGGAGACTACTCCAGTAGCTCTTGGGTACTTCTTGATCCTCCGGCCTGAGTTGGGTGAAGTACTGGACTACATCACGAAATTGTGGCCGCGATACTGTTTCCTCTCCATGCAACCGTGTGTCGAGATCGTGGAGCAATAGATCGAATGACCAGCCATCGTACAGTGCATGATGTATGCGGAACAAGAGACGAGGTCGTCTAGATATCGACATAACTTGTACGTGGAAGGGACGAAGAAAGTCTTCATCGGAGCTCATTGAGTAAGACCTCGAAAAGACATCAACTTCCTGAATCTGTGATGGCAGTAATGCTCTCCAAATAATCTGCGAGAACGTTCCTGCGTGCTGCGATGCCGCAACGAAGCCAGTACGCAGGATCTCGCTCTTACTGGCCAAGTAGTCCAGGGCGTTTCGGATATCTTCATACGTCCGCGTAACTAATAGCTCAACTTCGATCCAGTTGCAGTAGGCAGTAGGCCTGGATATCGTCTCTGCAAGCATGGCTTCCTGCAATGGAGTACAGGGTATCACGGATGCAATATCATTCTTCCATCGCTTGAGCTGAGGGATCTCTACGGTGCCGGTCATATTCGCAGAGTGATGCGTCGGATTATGCCGATTAGCGCTTTGTGTAGGACCTCTACATATCGCAACGAGATCGCTCAATGTTCTCGCAGATAGTACTTCCATCGCTCCTAGAACGAATCCTTGTCGACGTAGCGCAGACGCTATGCGAATAGCTCGAAGGGAATCCAGGCCAGCAGAGCTAAGGTTGGTATCTGATCCAAGGTCTTGAGAGATGTGACGACCAACGGTTTCCAGGACTGATTGGCTCACATGATCGCCTGGGGATTTGGTGGTAGACGTGGACAGTCCAGTAGAGTTAGTCTTGTGAAGATGTGTTTTTGCAAGAGAGTCTTTGTCAATCTTTCCCGACGGTAGCTGCGGCATTGTATCGATGAAGTATACGTGTGATGGAATCATAAATGCCGGAAGCCATTGGTTACAGGTAGCGAGGACATCTGCGCGGGTGACTTCGCTCGAGCCGGCAGCGCAAAAGGCAACCAAAGACTCTTCGACAATGATTACGGTTGCTGTCCGACAGCTCTGTATCCTCATGATAGCTTGTTCAATTTCGCCGAGCTCGACCCGTTGCCCTCGAAGCTTTACTTGACCAGCAACGACACGACCCAAGCATTCCAAGACGCCGTGGCGGTTAATTCTGGCGCGATCGCCGGTACGATATAAGCGACCATGTTCCGGATGTTCGATGAACGATGCAGAAGTGAGATCTGGGCGATTCAAATATTCTTCGGCAACCTGGGGTCCTCCAATGGCTAGTTCACCAACTTCTCCGGAACTCAGTATATCGATGTCGGCCGATGGTCGTTCTTCATTCATAGGCGCGATTATGAAAGCCGAAACAGTATCCAAGGGACGACCTATGATGCTAGTTGACGAATGTGTCGAGAACTGTGGCTGCAGCGTGCAGTGGATCGAGGCTTCAGTCGGCCCGTACATGGCCCATAGCATACTTTCCTTCGTTTCGTCGCCACCATACTCATCAATGACGTGTTGGGTGAGCATCTCACCGATGGTAAGTAACAATTTGAGTCCGGGCACGCTGGACCTGCCTTGAAGAAGGTTGCTCACGACTGTTGGCGTAAGTTCAGCTGCATCGACCTCTAGATTGTTGATGGCTCCTGGAAGGTCATCGAGCATGTGGGCACGTGTGCTGCTCACCAAGGTTCGCCCTCGGAACCAGGGAAAGAATATCTCAAAAATGGAAACATCAAACGTCTTACACTACATTAGTAGAGAAAGAGCGCTTATTCTGCATGTGCACTTACAGGGGCTGCAAATTGAAGAAAACGGGCGAAGTCGGGAATGTGGCGGTCGTGAGCCAATAGACTCTGGGTAACTGCATGATGAGTTACGCTGACAGCTTTTGGCTTCCCGGTAGAGCCGGAGGTGTATAGTACATAGGCCAGATCCTTGGTGTTTGGTCGCCGCAAATCGATTATAGGCTGGTCCTCGCGGTCGCAGAGTTCTTTGTCAACCGAGATTACATCGATATTGATCGCTGCTCGTATCCGCTCATCTAGAGTCGAAGACGTGATGAGCAGGTCGGCGGAAATATCATCGAGGATAAACTTCAGCCGCTGTGTAGGGGTATCGAGATTAAGAGGACAGAATGCCTTTCCCGCCTTCAAGATGGCCACAAGAACGATATACAGTTCTGGGGACTGTGGTAGGAAGACCGGAATGACAGGCGAGGCACTTTCGAGCTTTGCCAGTCTTTCTGTGATACTGCCAGCCAGGGCATCGCTCAGACTATGCAAGTCCTTGTAGGAGAACTTCCGCCTTTTCGATCCATATTCCAGGAAATCGATAGCAGTTGCATCGTGATCAAGTGGACGTACAAGCTCGTGGAGAAGGTCTGGTCCGCTCAAGATCGAGGGCCGCTGATTAAGTACCGACAGTCGTTGGTTCGCGCCGCTTTCTTGAATCATCTTGCGTTAAATTGTTAGATATGTCGACCGATGGCAACGGTTACTGGTAGAACATTCGAGTCTCTGTCGTCCCTAGCGATACGTCCATGAATTTCCCGAAGAAAGAATTGCAAAAAATGCACTCGATATGGCTGGACGGGAATCTGCAGAATGCGATGCTTGATCGCAGGTTTCGATGATGAGAAACTGAGGCACGATGATTGGTCGAAGGTCTTCAAGTACCTTGAGACCAGTACACACAGGGGTGGCGCACGTGAGAACGGGTACCAGCACTCTGTACTTGGGTAGCGCGTTCGACACTTGACGACGGAGTGTGCAGTGCTCCGGTGTAAGCAAGCAGGCAGCAAGCAACCTTCAAGAAGCGACCTCCAAGAACGTATCGCGGTCGCCGAATTCCAAATGATCGAATAGTGCTAGAATCAAAAGTCGAGAAAATCCAAGCTGAGGCGTGCACTGATGCGATGATTTCTGGTGTCGCGACTCCGTGATGTTGAGCGCGTTGTCCGTAGATGCAGCGTCATACATCCTGGTTGAGTGACAAGTGGACGTGTCATTCGACAAGCGGCGCGTAAGATCTGATACAGTAAATCAGACGCGTTTGGCGGCGGCTTTGCAAGTGGGCGAAAACGGGAGCAAAAACTGTTCGAGACAAGACTAAATCGAGACTGAAAACCGAAGCTCCACCTCAATCATGCTAGTCCGGAGTAGTAGCGTGAAGTGGTGGCCGTAAAGGCGTGGGCGCGTCTCCGATGACGACAAGGCCGTCGCGGTGGCTGGTTGGGCGTCGTTGTTCCATAGCCTCTTTGCTATCGCCCCACGCTATGGAGCAGAATCAGTTTGTCAAGCGCAAACGCGTCGTGCGCAAGATTCTGTCGCAACGTGGTGGTGGACGCGACCTCGGAGCTGTGCCGCTGCTTGGTGGGGAAGACGCGGCCGGGCATGCCGCCGAAAATCCCGTGCTTGCGTGACATGCCAGGCGGGTCATCCCTTGAGCAGAAATTATCAGATGCAGCAGCAGGCAGTCTACCCCTGACCTGACTTCACGTCGCCGCTAGCCCAGCCCTACAACTGCTGCTAGGGATGCACGCTGCACGCATCCGTCAGGCTGTCACCCGACTGCCCACTGTGAACTCACCTGCCGCAGCCCGATGACAGTGTATATATGGTAGGCCTTACACATGCGGCCTCTCCAGATGCGCAGACAGTCGCTGGTTGTCGCTGCCCTTCTGGTGCATGAACATGTCGCAGGGCGGCCATCTATGACCATGCCAAGACTCTAATTTAGTCCTGCGCTCCGACCACGTCTTCCGTGTTGGCCATGGATGTGACATCAACAACGCTGAATTATCAACATCGCCTCCATGGCATCCTCGCTCATTCTAGTCCACAGTCGCAAGTTTATCGCTGCATCTCTCGCTCGCTAATGCTCAACTGAGCAGCAGCCGAGCACTGCACACCCGCAATCGCATTGCGCAACGCCAGGCGCGCGCCACAATGCCCGACTATCACGACGATGACAGCTCCGAGAGCCAACCCCTTCTGGATTCCGAAGAAAGTGAAATTGAGGATGAGCCCTCTGTCCGCCACAGTACGCAATGGGAAAGGCATGTAGAACCGTCGTTAGCGACGGTTCAGCCTCAGGCTTTCGAAGGTCCCACCGTCTTTCGTCAACGATTCATCCGCCAAATCCTTGGCTTGAACAAAACCTCCTATTTTGCACTCTACAGGCAGTTGGATGATGTTGGCTCCAAGCTTATTCTGGTTTTGGGCATCGTAACTGCGATTCTGGCCGGGCTGCCGCTTCCTCTGATAGGTGTCGTGCTTGGGCGCATTATCAACAACTTCCCACCCAACCCAGACGAGCTGAAGCATCTCTTGTTCCGTCTGATGTCAGTTGCAGTCGGGTATTTTGTCATTACCTGGGCTTGGGCGGTTTGCTGGGCTGTCATAGGAGAACGCGTGAGTAGGAAAACAAGAGAAAGACTTTTGCATCGTGCTTTAGGCATGGACATGACCTACTATGGTGCGTAGATGCCCGAGAAATGCCTCGCATAGACTATGTATTGACTCGATTTGCCTTTCGTAGACACCGTCTCGCCTGATCTTTCTAGTATTCTCACAGAGAAGACACAGACCATTCAACTCGGTACCTCGGAGAAGGTGGGCCTCTTCATCGCATCCATAAGCTACTTCATCTCCGCATTCACTGTGGGTTTTATGCTAAACGCAAAACTGACCGGAGTAATGTAACTATCATCATCGCTGTCATGTCAAGAGAGAATCGTTAACATAGCTACATAGGTTCGTCACGGTTATACCTTCAATGGCATTCGTTGTCTATTTCGGTACTAAACAAGTTTCCGATCTCGCCAAGCAGGCTGCACAATACACCGAGAAAGCTGCCTCGGTCGCTGAGAGTGCTATCCGCGCAGTACAGATCGTGCAGGCGTTTGGCCTGTTCGAGCAGCTTAGCGAGGAACACGTTCATCACCTTCGATCTGCCTTGCGGGTTGGAATCCGGAAGAGCGTTGCAGGAGCTGTCATGCTTGGCTCGGTTTACTTCGTTGCATATGCGACCAACGCACTTGCTTTCTGGTACGGTGATCGCTTAAGAGACGGCAGCGCTGAGGCTGGTACCATCTATGCAGTCGTCTTCCTCATACTAGACGCTTCTTTCGTCGTCGGGTCATTTGGTCCATTCATTCAGACATTTGCAATGGCCGCCGCCGCTGGGGCTGCGGTAATGGATGTTCTCGATCATCCCACATCCGATATCGATGTCTATTCCCCAAAGGGAAAGCCGGCGGACAGGACACATTTCGAACAGGATCTGGTGCTTTCATCGGTGTCATTTGTATACCCAGCTCGTCCTACTGTGCGAATCCTCGACAGTATCAATTTACGCATCAAGCCTGGGCAAGTCACGGGTCTAGTTGGACCGTCCGGTTCGGGAAAGGTAATCATCAACTTTCGACTAGCACAAACCATTGGCTAACCTCACTTCTTCCTAGTCTACTATTGCATCCCTGCTTTTGAGGCTCTACGATCCAACTTATGGCGCCGTAAACCTCGGCAACGACAACTTGAAGTCATTCAACGTCCACAGCCTGCGGACACACATCGCACTCGTCACTCAAAATCCGGTTCTCTTCACTGGAACAATACTGGATAATATCAAGCATGGTATCCCAAGTGCCGAAAGAGAACGATTGACTGAAGACGAGATTCTTGCTCGGTGTGAGGCGGCGGCGACAGAGGCATATTGTGATTTCCTAGACCGACTTCCTGAGGGCATACACACGAAAATCAGTTCCGGACCCCAGTCTCAACTTTCCGGAGGCCAAAAGCAACGTATAACCCTCGCGCGTGCGCTTGTGGGTAACCCGTCCCTGCTTTTACTGGACGAATTCACAAGTGCCATGGACGGTACAAGTGAAGCGATCGTTTTGGAAAATCTACGTCGTTCTTCAGCCAACGCCAACCGAACCACCATCATAATTGCACATCGTCTGGCAACTGTTCGAGATGCTGATCGTATCGTGGTCATGAAAGACGGAAGTGTAGAAGAAGACGGGCGCCATCAAGATCTCCTCAAAAAGAACGGCATCTACGCAGAGCTCATCAAAGCACAACAATTCGAAAAACCGCGGCCTTCAGCAACTTCATCGATTCGATCTGCTGCCAGCTCTACGCACAAAGAGCATGGAGAGTCTTCAGGCGAATCAAACAATGCCTCCCGGCCGGTTTCAGCATCACAAACCGACGCGCCAAAGATGAGTGCTTTGACATTAATTCGCAGATCGTTGGCATTGAGCCGCCGTGAAACGCCAGCTATAATTGTCGGTTTGATCTCCTCCGTCTTCAGTGGTGGAGTCATTATCGGAGAGGCGCTCATATTTGGCAACTTGGTTGAGCTCTTGAATGACACGTCCGGCTCGGACGATCTCACGAGGAGAATATCTTTCTACTGTTTGCTTTTCTTTGGACTGGCAATCATCGCTCTAACTTCACACTCTTTCGGCAAAACTGCTTTCGGCATGGTCTCCGAAAACCTTACCTTACGAGTCCGAGATCTATCTTTCCGGACTATCTTGCAACAAGACATTGCCTGGTTCTCTAAGCCTGGTCATTCTCATCACGCTTTAATGTCGCGTCTGAACTCTGATAGCGGCAGTATTAGTGGTCTATCTGGTGTCATACTCGGAACCGTCTTCTCCATTGCGACGTCTGTTCTTGGCGGAATTGTTCTGGCCCATATTGTGGCATGGAAAATCGCCATTGTTCTACTGGCGGCTGTACCTGTCATGCTTCTAGCTGGATTCCTGCGCCTTCGTATCTTGGCTATGGCCGAAGAGCATCATCAGACGGCTTATAATGACGCTGCAGCCCTCGCTTCCGAAGCCACTTCTTCTATGCAGATCGTTGCAGTTTTTGGCTTGGAATCGCACTTCCTGGATGGTTACCGAGAAGCAATCAGAAAGCCATACGAGGAGCACCTCAGGTTCAGCGTGCTTGGCAACATCTTACTCGCCTTTTCACTCTCGGTCACATATTTCGTCTACTCTTTGGCGTACTGGTGGTAAGCATATATGTTGATGCCGCTTCCATCAGCCACATACTAATTGATGCGACAGGGGGTCTAAACAAGTGCGCAACGGTAACTATAGTCAACGAGAGTTCTTCATTGTACTCCCAGCGCTTCTTTTTTCTGCACAATCCGCAGGTCAGCTCTTCAGCTTGGCACCCGAAATAACTCGGGCCAAGGCCGCAGCGCAGAATGTATTCTCTCTACATGACGAGAAGCCGTCGATCATCACAGATTTGAGGCCTTTGGAATCCGCTACCACCACTGCATCCAATGGTAGCGCTTTGTTGTCTGGCCCTTCAGCATCGTATGGAACATTTGGAGTGCGTGGAGAACTGGAGTTCCGTAACGTCAGTCTCTACTATGAGAGTCGGCCTAATGTTCCCGCCTTGAACAACGTCTCATTTCAGATTCGCCAGGGCGAAAACGTAGCCTTTGTCGGTCGTTCCGGTAAGTCAACGAGATCGTCGCACGATAAGTACTGACTTCGTCGCCAGGCGCTGGAAAGTCGAGTACGATTCATCTGATAGAGAGATTCTTCGATCCAAATGCTGGACAAGTGTACCTTGATGGGCAAGACATACGCCAAGAACCCGTTCGAAACCATCGTGCTCGCCTAGCACTTGTGGTAAGTTACCCATTCTCGTTCAGATCAACACACACTTCATTCTGTTACATTTCAATCGAGTGTGGGGCTCTTCATGGGGCGCCTTTCATATGAAGATGACTGACACCCAGCAGGAGCAAGAGCCAGATCTCTTTCCAGGCTCCGTAAAGTTCAATATCGGACTGGGCGCTCGGCCAGGTACCGCAGTCGCCGATGAAGATATACAACGGGTGGCCAAAGAATGTGAGCTTCACGACTTCATCATGAGCCTTCCAGAGGGCTACAACACGGAAGTCGGTGCACATGGCTCCAAACTCTCAGGCGGTCAGCGCCAACGCCTTGCTATCGCCCGAGCTCTCATACGTGATCCCGAGATCCTACTTCTCGATGAAGCGACATCGCAGCTGGACGCCAATACCGAGCGCGACATCCGAACGGCTATCGCCGCTGCCTCCAAAGGACGAACTACCATCATGATAGCACATCGATTAGCGAGTGTGCAATATGCAGATCGTATCTTCGTGTTTGATGGCGGTCGTATCGTTGAGCAGGGCAGACACGATGAGCTCGTAGCCATGGGAGGCATTTATGCTGCCATGGTCGCAACACAGGAGCTGGATTAGGTGCTCATCTATACACTTTATCGACCTTTCATTTCGCAGTCTCCTCGGACCGGTTCGTCTCTTCGATGCGTGTTGTTTAGGCGACTGGCGCATTGTAATATGCGTATGTACCAGTACCCTCATGTTTTGACTACCTATAGAAGCACCCCTCGCATTTCGAAGGCGTTGAACAATGTTTGTTCCTGTACCATCATAGTTCCTTTCATAATTAATTAATGCTTCTTGCGTCAAGCATGGTACATGCGTTTGCTCCTCAACCTGCCTAGTTCGCGCTGGTGCATCCTCTTCAGTACATGTTGCCGCGTTTGCATGCTAATGAAATGGTATGCTCACAGTGGGCCCTAGGATGGAACATCGACGAATGCATTTATCCAAATGAGCGCACTGTTCCGAAGACTGGCCGGTGCAATCTTTTCGTTCCACAGCTATTCACAAAGTCAACGCTTCTGCTCTGCGCATGTCCTGTTTCTCTTACCGCATATTGCTCTCAGCGATGCGAGGGCGACTTGACGAGCGGAAGATGGCGTCTTCGAGCGCCTCGTTCGTCATCAGCTTGCTTCACTATGCGCTAGCACGACGTGCTTCTGGACCTTGGAATGATCGGCGGCTGCGGCGTGCTAACCGAGCCTAGTAGCAACGCCGGAACATGCAGTTGATGGTGGTGTCGTTGGGCGTGCACCAGTAAGACCGAGGCCGCTCCGAACTCGCAAGAAATCTCTTCATCTAATCTGATCGATTGATTCATTTTCATCTGATAACTTTTACTCCGCCAAGCGCGCATGTTACCCACGACCCCACGGAGACTATACTCGATCGCGTCGCTCGACGCAACTACAGGACAAGTGCTGCGGGGCACGTCTGAAAATTCTGCCTCCGTCATACGCTTTACCAGTGCCGAAAAAGCTGTTGCTCGACGGGGTATGCTCCGTCATCTTATCAGATGGCGCGTCCGAAGATCAGTGACATGGGGGTTGTGCTGCCATCACCTGCTTAGCGAACCACACATGGTGACACTAGGTTGGAACGGACCGTCAGGGTCTGCTCTTACGAAGTGACATCGGACCATTCTCTGACGAGCATCGCGGCCGCTGCCGATCGACATGGATGGGCTACACGCAAGAACGGATCCTGGGCACGGCCATGGTCAAGGTACAACTCATGGCCGCCGTCGTGAACCTTCTCCCATAACCTGACGACGGTATCTACGTTGACCATCCAGCGAGTGAGGTGCTTCTTGTGACCTTACAATTGAGCGATCAAATAGGTACGTTGCTGTCATCAGTCTTTTCGTATTGTTCATCTGCGTCAAGTGTAGACGTCATTGTTTATCACATGAATCCGCTGACTGTCGGCTTTCCACTTACAGCTCCGCGACTCAAGCTTCTTGACGCCTGATTGCCCAGTTCAAAAAGAACCCAATTTGAAGCGTCGGTGACAGTTGTCAGTGTACGTAGTCTCGCCAACAGTTGCGCACAGCGCGACACGAGCTCGCGTAATGTGTGCCAGCAATACTAACAGAAGCAGGGTACCTCGTAGTGACAACCCGCGAATATATCGCAGATATGAGTCCGCACGCCGAAATGTCGTCGAGCACGTCCGAAGGGCCAGCCCCAGCCGTTCAACGAGCTTTCAACGGTTTCCTGACCGAGAACCTCAATGAAAGCCATCTCCCCACGATTGAAAACCGTTCACACCTCCGATACACTGCAGAAGATGAGCTGCACGACCTTATATGTGTCGGTTTCGGTCCAGCGTCACTAGCCATTGGTGTGGCTCTGCATGATGCTCTGGATGGGACTGATCCTTCCCTGGTGGATGTTGCGGGCCTACAAAGCAGACCACCGAAAGTCGCGTTTCTCGAGAAGCAGTCGCAATTTGCGTGGCACGCTGGCATGCTTCTACCGGGTGCGAAGATGCAAATTACATTCATGAAGGACATGGCCACTATGCGAAACCCGAGAAGTGAATTCACCTTCATCAACTATCTGCACCAGAAGGACCGCTTAGTCGAGTTCGCAAACCTGAACACCTTCCTACCAGCCCGTGTGGAGTACGAGGACTACATGAAGTGGTGCGCTAGCTGGTTCGAAGAGGTGGTAGCATACAGCCAAGAAGTCATCAAGGTCATGCCCGAGAAGTCGCCAAATGGCGAGATAACCACATTCACCGTCGTCTCTCGCAACACCCTGACAGGACGCATCGAGTCGCGGAGAACCAAGCATGTCGTCATCGCTGCGGGTGGACGGCCAAATATTCCTGCGCCATTCCCGACAAACCATCCCAAGGTTGTCCACTCGTCGAAGTTTTCATACATCTCGAAGGAGATCTTGAAGGATCACAGCGCGCCTTACAGTGTGGCAGTAGTCGGAAACGGCCAGAGTGCCGCTGAGATCTTCGACTTCCTACACGCAAACTACCCCAACTCGCGAACACGAATGCTGATCAAGGGAGGAGCCCTGCGACCAAGCGACGACTCACCATTGTAAGTGAGAGATGACTGTTGCCGGACTGCCTCGCTAATATACCAGTGTCAACGAAATCTTCAACCCGTCGCGAACAGACTGCACATACGCACGCGCCCCTAAGCTTCGCGCAACTACGCTGCTGGAGGACAAGGGCACGAACTACGGCGTCGTCCGCCTTCCGCTTCTCGAACACATCTACGAGACCCTATACCTACAGCGCATCCGTCATGGTAACTCGCCCGCCGAGGAAGAGAACTGGCCGCACAGGATCATGCCATACCGTCGCGTAACCGATGTGACCGACTCCCCAGTTCGGCCAGGTGGTGTACGCCTTCAGGTACAAGACACCAGTCCATTATATTTCTCGGAGTGTGCGGGTGCCCAAGAAAGGCAGGAGACATTGGATGTCGATGCCGTCTTTGTAGCGACAGGATACCACAGGGACCTGCACGAGACGCTGCTCAAGGACGCAAGGCACCTAATGCCCGGTGGAGAGCTAGAGGGCGCCAAGTGGCAGGTGCAGAGGGACTACAAGATCAACTTCACCGAGAAGAGTGTTGGTGACGAGGCCGGTGTTTGGCTGCAGGGCTGCTGTGAGACTACGCACGGTGTAAGTATTGCCTGGGCATGTTGCGAAGAGAAAGATGTGCTAATTGTGTGACAGTTGAGCGATACCCTTCTTTCGGTGCTTGCGACGCGTGGAGGTGAGATGGTGAGGAGCATCTTTGAGAGGCCTGCCACGTGGGACAACGGCGACGTGTTGGGCGGGTATGAGATGCGCGAGTAATGGATGGTTCGTCGGTGGATTCCATGTAACTAGGCACACTCCTCTTCCAGCTGCACATACTACTATGACGTCTTTGGTCACGCCTGCTTTTCGCCCAGCCATGTCCAATTTCGTTTGTCGTTCCAATTGCACATGTCGCGTGCACTTGCTGCGGTCCGCGGCGGGTGTGGTGAGGGAAAAAAGCAACGCTTATTTGAATTTGATATCGGTGCCTAGGGCATCCAGGGTCGCGCCTGCCTGTTTGAGGACCCTGAAGAAGGAGGCAGCCCAAAGAAGCTGCAGTCGACACAACGTGAAGCTGCGCGGCGACCGTCGTGTGCCTGCTGTATGCGTGATAATGATGAGCAAAACGGCAGAGAAAGGCAGCTGCAGCCCACGCAGTGAATGACGGCAGTCACCCCACGATGATGGGCGCGAGGAGGCTGGCCGCTTTGGTCGCTAGCGCAACCAAGGAAAGAGCCCAATTCCATGGATGTTGCAATGGCGCCGACATCAGCGCTACGCTGACCTTGAAGCCATCCTTTCCCTCTGCCTGTGCATATTCTCCTCTGCGCTTCCCGTCCGCGCATTTCTTCCCTGCGGCTGCTCCAGGCCCTGCTGCGACAGCGTACAGCCGCTGACCACGTAACACCACCCCGCAACCGCCAAACGCTCCAAGCCCGTCACCCCGAGTCCCGTACGGCCACAACAAGCGCGCTCCCCTCGAGCCCACGCCTCTTGCACCCACGACTCCAGCGCTGCGCCGCAGTCACCGTCCGCCGTAGCTCCATCCTCTCCATCAGCGGGCGCGTATCCTCGGCATGCAACACCGGCAGTGAGGACTGATTGGCGTCTCTATCCGCGACACCGTCGCTCTACACCCTTAGCCCTCGCTGCTCCCGGTTGCCATGGAACCGCAGTGGACTGCCTACTCGGAGGCACCGGGTAATCGCTACTCGCACAGCATGGCCCCGTCTCCGCACGCCTCGCGGGACGCCAGCGTGTCTTCGCAGGTCAAGCCGGACCCCTACGCAACGCCGTCACGACAGAATTCAATGCCTTTGCAATCGCCTGGCGGCACTGCTAGCCGAGGCCCCGAGTACAACGACGGCGATGGCGATGTTCCCATGGAGGACGCATACAAGCCGCGGCTGAACATGGCGTGCCCTACGCAACAGCAGAGGCAATCGCAGCAGTTCCTCCAGCAAGAGGAGAGTGCCGCCGCCCGCAGATACTCGCCCATGAACCTTTCACCTACCTCGCCCTACTCGGGCGGTGCGCAGCAGGGCGGACAGAACTACACCAGCTTTACCCCTCAGGCCCAAGCGCAGACGCAAGCCAGCCGGCAGAGCCCGACGCGCAACAATCCCTATATGTCGCCGCCCAACAACTACTATTCTCCGCCATGTAGGTTCAGCCTGTGCTTGGATGCTCACATGCCTTGGCCCCCAGTACTGACAGTCTCGCTTTAGCCTCCCGACCGCATGCCCCTCAACTGCCGCCTCTACAGTCCAACATGAGCCCCGAGAGTTTCTACCCGCAATCTGCGACGGCGCAATTGAACGCGGTATACAACAGAGACGCTCGATCGCCGCGCGCCTCCTCCAGCTCAAACCCCCCACAGCTGCCTCCGCCAGGCCGAGGGCCAGTACCAAAATTCGAAAAGTGTGTCAACACTGCCGATTTGCAACCTAAGATCAATGCCCAGCCGCCCTTTCGTCGCGCAAATCCTGAGGGCGGCTTTATCAGCGTAAGTCGAACAGTGTGGG